GGGAAAGCATTTTAGAACAAATAAAACATTTTTAATTAACAAGGGCCTGGCTACTCCAGTTGTACAATACATTTGCAACAACATACAAAGTACCCAACATATGGTGGAAAGCACATATGGTAGCAATCCTAAAAACAGGGAAAGATACCTCGGATCCAAAGAACTTCAGACCTATTATCCATACAATGTTACCTTTTCAAACTCCTTATCATAAATGCCTTATTGTAATGCCTTACCATAAAACCACGGTTTATGATAGTTGTCAAAAGAACACCTAATTCCCCAGCAAGCCGGCTTCCACCCAGGGAAATTATGCACTGGTCAAGTATTAAACATCATGCAGCACAAAGATGATTTCAAAAGAAAGGAATGGTCACTGGTGCTTTAACCTGTCGGCAGCTTATGACACTGAACCACCAGAGGTTCCTTACAAGAATTTTTTTTATTTACCTTTTATCACATATGATGTGTGTATACACACACACACACACATACACACACTTTTCTAGCAAGGATCACATTATTTGTAGTAAATATTAATTCTTTTGCATGTATTTTTGTCCTTTTCTTATCTATCTATCTATCTAGACAGAAGTTCAGTGCACACAAACTGCTTTCAAAATGGCCAAAACCAGTTTAAGATAAACCTTGATGGTTTATCAGACTTAACTGATTTAGGTTAACTCGATTTATTTAACTCCTGTCCCAGATCCCCTCCAGATTCAAGTTAACCTCCCCTGCAAGCCACCTCCCACCTCCCTCAACCTTGCAGGCTAGCCTTGGCTCATGTGGTTTGCTCCAGCAGAGCAGGAAGACGTGCTCTAGTGTCCCCTGGCTTCTGGCCTGAACCACTGCAGGGATATGGCTGCATTTCTGGAATAAAAAATGAATGCCTGTTCACTTGCTTATCAGTTCAACCGATGCAGCTTAGACTAATCTGCAAAGACTGAATCGATTCAGTCTCTGGCTTTTTGACTGTCTGTACTTAGCCTGTATGTACAGGCAAAATGACCAAAACTGGAAGCATTGTGTTGCATATTCTTTG